AATTCTAATAGTATGAAGAGATGAAGGTAATTAAAACTAAGTAAAACAGTAAGTACATAGTTAATAAAAGGATTTTGTATTGACTATTGTTCTACCACATTTCTACCAAGTTCATTATATGCTTTCTCCCCAGTAAAACTGAAATAACTAAAAAAAATAAATAAATATATGGCTCACACAGTCTACTGTTTACTATAAAAAATTATCCTTTTAGAAAATGAATAATATATTTAACTTATTATTTAATTATTTTTATTTATTCTTAACCCACTCACTGTATAGCTGATAGTAAATGAACTAATAAATTGCCCCTTCTGGGCCTTGTTGGTCATTTCTCTCTTTTTTAATGTTTTCATTGTAAAAGGTGAGCTAAGACAGTGAAATATTATTCAAATAAGCACATCTTATAATTTATATTAGCAACCTGATATTTTTTTTTACTGAAAATAAATCTTGAAAAATAAAATACAACGAGAAGGAGTATTCTGTAACGCAACTTTACAGATTCGAAGATTCAGAGAGGCCAGGTAGGTGGCGTAAAAGAACCAATTGTTGCCAGATCTCTTAACTTTTCAAGAGATGTTAAAATTTCTTTGTTTTTATTAAAAATTCTCTTAATTTTTAAATCTTGGAAATTAGTTGGAGAAAAATGCTGTTTTCTACTGCATGGACTTAACTAAACAATTCTGTGCAATCCCTGGTTGACCTTTTGTGACTTCTGCTGTGATAGTTAAGAATGTGGGTTTTGCAGTTAGCTTGGGGTTCAGATCAAGCATACTACTATGCAATGTTGAACAAGTGACTCAACCACACTGTGCTTCAGTTTTCTCACCTGCAGCATGTGGATGATAACTGTATCTTTTTCATAGGATCATGGAGAGAGTTAAATGTGTTACATATAATATTTGTATACAACTTAGCACAGGACAGACAGAGGGTAAGTATCCAAGTAATGTTGGTGTTGCTGATAGTAAAGATGAAGTTTTAGAGTCTGCCATGACTTAAATGAACCAAGAGAGTTGACTTATTGTCTTATTGGGGGAAATCGGAGTAAAAGAACATCAGAAGAGCTAAGAAACTGAAGACCCTCACTCACTGAGAGTTCACTGCTTTAATGTTTGTTTTACCACAGCCACTTTACATTCATCCAGCGGGGGGAAAAATTTACAAAGGAAAAATGAAGTAAACAGTCCCTAATATTTTCCCTCCAATTCCATTCTTTGATGCACTCTCGTCCCTATTATCCTCAAGTCTTCCTGAACTTTTGTAAGTTGTGACACATTTTATTTACCAAAAATAGTCAACTCAATATATCTCATCCCATATGCTCTCATTACTGTGTGATGTTGACACTCCCCCATCAAGCCGAGGGTCTATGTTCCCTTTCCTTGAAATACTGTGACTGCCTCAACCAATAGAGTGTGGCAGAAGTGCTGTTATGTGACTTCCAAAACTATATCATTAAAATGCCATGCAATTCTGCCTTGCTGTCTTGGGGCATTCACTCTTGGAACCCAGTAGCCATGCTGTAAGGAAACTCAGGCCACAGGGAAAGGATGCCTTTTCACCTAGATGAGATTCCATCTGGAAGCCACCATTAACTGCCAGTCATGGACACAAAGAAGCCTTTGAGATGACTCCACCATCTGATTGCAACTGCATGGGCTATTCCTAGGGAGAACTGACAAGGTGAGAAGTCACCCTCCCAAACAATGAGAGATACAGTGGTTGTTTTTGTTTAATGTCACCAAGTTTTGGGGCCATGCAACAACAGATAATTGGATCATAAGTCACAGTGGAAGGATAAAGAAGATTTCCCCACAGAGGCCCCGCATACCCTGCAGATGAGCTATCTTTTAGGACCTGTGGCTGGATCAGGCCAGGTCTGCCTCCAGCCTAGGCTTGCTCTGGTGTTTTTAGGGATAGGCATGATGAAATCCTACCTTCTATGTGTCCCTGAAGCCTCATTTCTTAGTTTTACCTACAATTCTCTCATTCCTTGTATGCAGCCATTAATGTATTTTCGTTAGTCCCTGCCTTGGCATATACGGTACCTATCCTACTGCACTTCTTGTAATAGTATTCTTTTCTCAAGGAGTTTCTGTAATTTTTGATGGACACAGAGGCCAAAAAAAGCTTAGATTTCCAGTGTTTGGAATTGATATAACCTTCCTCAAAAATGCTTAAACATTTCATCAGACAGGAGCAAAATATTCAAGCTTAGTATATTAAAACATACCATCACCAATGCTATTAAATTTAACTTTTTTTTTTATCAAAGTATTTAGAAGTCTGATAATTTTACAAGGCTTTAAATGAAAAATAGCATACACATCCTCACTCCAGTTTCTACCCTCCCCACCCCTCAACCACTTTTAACTCTTTTAACCATTTCTTCTGGATTTACTTTCATCTTTTAAAATAATATGCACGTACTGTTCTTTTTTTTTTTTTTATCAGTTACAGACATTTCTTATCTCTTCCACATAAGAGGAGTATATAGCTGTCACTATACCACATACATGTTCAAGGTATACCTTTTTTCTTCACTTATACACTCGAGTTATATCACACTTTTCATGAAGTCTATACTCAATATTTCTATTCATATAAATATGTACTTATTGTTCATAGCTTAGTCAAGTAGACTATTATCATTTCATTTTTTTCTTACTGAACTTCTTTTCTTCCTTAGTTTAATACATGCCTTTATTTCCATTTGCTTATTTTTCACCATTTGGACCCCAAATTGTCTGCCAAAAGTATAGATCTTTTCTCAGAACAGTAAACGCATCAAGTTACATACTTAAATTGGGATGCCTCTCTGAAGCCCTCCGTTGCTCTGCTTCAGCCTTGCTTTGTCCTGAGATTTCACTCACAATCTTCCTGGAGGGCCGCCCCGGCAGCTCTCCTGTGCTGTAGTCTCTCATTCCAGGATCCATTTCTTTTTCCTTTTGAGTAGTTTCCTGTCTAAAAATACTTTTTATATTCTTAAGCTTTATTAATAGCTTGACAGTGTGTAGAATTTTATGTTGGAAATCCTTCTTATAATTTTAAAGGAACTCCTTTGTGTTTTAGCTTTATGACTTAACTATAGATTGATAACTGATATCATTCTGATTTCCTAATCCTTTTTTATGTGAGTTTTCTTTTTTTTTAATGTCCTCTCTATGGAAGATTTTAGGGTTTTTTTTTTGTCTTTGTGTGGATCTCTCTCCCCTTCCTTCCTCTCTTTCTTGCTTCCTTTCTTTTTTCATTCATTGTTCGTTTGGTAAGCCCTGTTGGCCTGGAAAGTAAATGTCAAGGTGGAAAATATTTTTGTATTATTTCTTTGATGATTTTCTCCTCTCCATAGTCTCAACTTTTTCTCTACAGAACTCCTATTATTTGAATTTTGGAGTCCCTGGATATAACGTTTTGTCATTTTTCTTTAATTTTCAATTTTTTGTTCTTTCCAAACTATGAGGTCAACTTTATCTTCTAACTTGAATTTGTTTTGACTAATTTCTGCTATTACAAGTTAAATTTTCAAGATCATTTTTCTATTCAGAATGTTTCTTTTTGTAGTTTCTTTCTTATATTTTGGATGCACTTTTTTGTCTGATGGTATGAATTATTATAATTTTGAAGTTTTCTTTTCTTACCTGATATATCTCCTTTTTTTAGAGTTCCTTTTCTCCCCGTTTTGCTTGTTTTGTCATTACAACTCTGGATCGCTTCTACTTCCAGGGCTGTTGAGGGGTGGGCTTAGAGTGCTATCAGGATCCAGGGTACCAATGGGGTCCTGCATTGTGCTTGATTTCACCCTCTGCCCAATCCTTATTTCCCTTCACTTCCATAAGAGTTGATCCCAAATACATTCCCTAATAAATGTTCTACACAGCATACTCCATCTCAGAGTCTGTTTCCTAGGGAATCCAACCCATCCATGATAATTAGTTTTGAGAGAGATGGGTTTGACAGGAAGGAGAGAACATGGTATGGTTTTCATTCCTTGTCTGGCCCTTAGACTGGATTTGGACACCTCTAAAGAGGGATGGGAGAGACAGAAACTGAAGTTCCTACTGAGATAATTATTCAATTTAATAAGTACTTCAATTTGGAAAGATAATATTCACTTTTATTAGACTCCTTCATTTCCTCACTGACTCACTCTTCTCTAAGTAAAAATAATGTCCCCCAAACACTATTAAACCGTTTCTTCAAAATTCACTTGCCACAATTTTATCACTTATTGTTGTAAGTGATTTCATCGATTTAAGGCTCATATGACAGTAAACCATTTTAGCTTAACTGAAGAAGAATTGATGCTTTTGAATTATGGTTTGGTGAAGAATACTGAATAAACCATGGGCCGCCAGAAGAAGAAACAAATCTGTGTTGGAAAAAGTATACCCAGAATGCTCCTTAGAAGCAAGGATGGTGAGATTTTGTCTCATGTACTTTGGACATGCTATCAGCAAGGACGAGTACCTGGAGAAGGACATCATGCTTGGTAAAGTAGACAGCAAAAAAGAGGAAGACACTCAAGGAGATGGATTGACACAGTGGCTGCAACAATGGGCTCAGGCATAACAACGATTGTGAGAATGGCACAAGACCGAGCAGTGTTTCCTTCTGTTGTACATAGGGTCGCTATGAGTCAAAGCAACTTGATGGCACCTAACTACAACAACAACAATGTTCATGCTCCAAGTTTTAAGAGGAACTGTTTATCAATGTTTAATAGAATTCTCCATTATCTTTGTAACTGCTAGTTTTGCTGTTGCCTTTTGGTGTTGATAGTCCTCTAATGCTGGCACAGTGCATAAAATGACAATTTGCTAAACTGTTTCTTGAATTAATTCTAAGTTTTGTTTTATTTGTATTTTTGTTACTTTGAATTAAGATTTAGCTCTTGTATCTCTTTCACCTTTACATATTGCTGCTTCATTTTGGTTGTATTCTCAAATATGTTACATACAACTTGTGCATTTTCTCTGTGTAATTTAATTTGGAACTTTTTACTGTGTTTAAATCATTAAGCCACAGAGGCTGTCATTTGTTTCAAACTTTTTTGAGATTTTATCTTCAGAATTTTTCTCAAGACACTTATTACTTCCTTATTTCTCAGGCTATAAATAAAAGGATTTAGTAAAGGAACTACTATTGTAAACAAAATAGCAGCTAGTACATCCTGATCTCTTTCTTCAAGCAAATCTGTTCTAAAGTAGATGAAGAAAAGAGATCCATAGAACAATGAGACAGACAAAAAATGAGATGCACACGTAGAAAAGGCTTTGATTCTTCCCTCTTCAGATTTCATTTTGAAAATAGTGAAAAGAATGTACAGATAAGATATTAAGACACTACCTATGGTGAAGATTTGAATTGATCCTGAAGAGATAAACAGTATCAGTTCATTAACATAAGGATCAACACAGGAGAGTCTGTATAAAGGAAGAATATCACAGTAAAAGTGGTTGATTTGATTAGATCCACAGAAAGCTAACCTAAATAAAAGCCCTACATTAATCATGGAATGTAGGTTCCCAGCTATGTAGGCCCCTATAGTCATCTGAATGCAGAGTTTCTTAGACATCATGATGTGGTACTGCAGTGGACTGCATATTGCCACATAGCGGTCATAGGCCATTGACGCCAGCAGAAAGCAGTCTGCAGTTTCAACAGTGCAAAGAAAATAGAAATGTGCCATGCATTCACAGAAGGAAACCATTCTGTCCTCAGAAAGGAAGTTCTTTAACATTTTAGGAGTAATGGCACAGGCACAGCAAGAATCCAGAAGAGCTAGGTTGCCCAGAAAGATGTACATTGGTGTGTGAAGACGACACTCTTTTGAAATCAATATCACCAGGCCAAGATTCCCCACCATGGTGATCAGATAGATGGCAAAGAACACCACAAACAGAAGGGTTTTCAGCTCTGGGTGGTCCATAAATCCTGTGAGGATAAACTTGTTTTTCATGGTATGATTTTCTTCAACCATTCCTGACTTCTCTGTTGAGAAAAAAAGTTTGGAGAAATACATGCTAATTTATAATATGCTCAATTCAACTGTTGAACTCTCTCTGGCCCAGAAGGGGAAGGAACGTGTTCTGTGGTCCTTCCATGTGTTTCCTGGATTTTGTATATGTCCAATTCTGGGGAGAATTAATCTCCTGAAGCTATTAGCTTTTTGGCTACTGAGTTAACATTTTCTTCCCCTCACGTTTGGAGAAAAATTATGATTGGATGCACAAAGATGACTTTTAAGTCTTGAGAGGCATATTCAAGGCAAAAATCTTGTCTATATGGGTTAGGTAAAGTTGATTCATAATTTAAGTCAGCAAATTAGTGTTCCCAAAAAATTTCAGTGATTGTATATGTACTGTTTAATAATGTTTAAAAGAATATTTTCATTTGCATACTCTTAGCAATTTACTATCTCCAAAATTGGTGGAATAGACATTTAAATATAAAATGCTTTGGGGGAAAAAGGGGACTATTTACAAGACTATTTATACCCTTGAAGGATGTGGAAGTAAAGTGATGTGGATAGAAGCAGAGATTAGAAACGAGAGCAGAGGAAAGGAAAACAAAACAAAACACAAAATGGCTGTACTAAAAATCAGAGCATTTATAATATAATGTATGCATGCAATGTAAAATTATACATATGTGTACGTGCATAAAGAAATTTTAAAAAATGTAAATACTATCAAAATAAATTGGAGAAATTGTAAATGTTAGAAATTGATAAATTACATTATATATATGTCAAAAAACAAATAAAATTCAACGTCAAATTCAAACTGGGAAATTATTTGCAATAAATATGTTAAGGGTTCTGTAGCTTTATTCTATAAAGAGCTTATATAAATCAATAGGACAAAACACTAGAAAATAAGTAAAGGACAGGAACAGAAAAATCTCAAAAGAAATACAATTTGAAAACTTATTAAAAATGTTTAATTTCATTACTAATTAGACAAACATTATTTGAAAAATTTATGAGGATATGTTTATTTTGCCTCTGAAAATAGCAGCTTTTTTTTTTTTTTAAAGAAATGAGAAAGTATAGTATAATCTAAGATGTGGTGAAATGGAACTTCATATATTGTTGGTAGAAGTATAAATTGGTACAATCTTGGAAAAAAAATTGGTATACATTAAGGGAACTCTTAAATGTTCACACCCTTGACTCAGTAACCATGAACCTATTTAAAAGAATTAGAAGCTCAAAGATTTATGTATAGTGATGTTCATTGTAATATCATTTATAATAGTGGAAAATCAAAACACATAATGCCAAACATTTAGTCAGTATGATTAAGTAAATGTGCATCGTCCATATGATGACTCATTAAAATGGTGATTACTTAGAATATTTAATGTGATCCTAAATTAGTAACAATAAAATATTAAGTGAAAAACAATATGTAAATATTTATATACAGAATAATCCTGATTTTCTAAACAAATCCTTACATATGAATATAAAAGAAACTCAGCACAGAATACCAATGAATTCTGTTATTACTATAAAAATGTACATTTAACATCTAAATGTTAACTAATTTTCTGTGTAATAAGCTATTTTTTCCTTCTTTGTATTTTCCTCTATTTCAAAATCTCTACAATGAGTATTATTTTTATAAAGAGAAAATAAAATTTTTTATTAAAAAATGAAATGGCATTCTCTTACATCTACTGTGTTTTACAACTTGACAACCCTTCAATAATCATTAGGGATCCAACTGATTTTTTTTTTTTTTTTTAGTTTGTAATTATATAATGGATAATGTCACAATGGATGTATTGAGAAACTACCTGCTTACTTCATGTGATAATGACTTTCACAGTTATAAATAATAATAATTTGGTGACAATCTTGCGCTGATCTTAAACCATGTGGGAATATATTCATGTATTGTGATGCTGCATTCTGAAGGCTACTTGCCTTATGTAAAACAATATTTCCTTGTGCTCAGGCTTTACTGTTTTGAATCTTAGGTCTTTCCACAATATTCTAAGATTCTATAATATTCATATTTATTAAACTTTCAGTATATTTTAAAAACTTCCATTATTATCCCTTAGATTTGTCCTTAGAGAGTTTTAACTGATGGGAAACATTTAATTTCAATCTACCTTTGTTTATTTTAGTTAATTTGAGGATCATTTATTTATTGACCTAATTTGCCGCTCTGCACCACATATTTTCTTAGAAACTCCATATTCCAGGAACAGAAACAAAGCTTTTTAGAGAGAAATAAGAACTCTTCACTTTTGATTTCCTAAAAAATTGGTGGGTTAAATATCAGGTTATATGGGACTGATACCTTTAGGAAATAGTATAAAAAATGTTCACCTGAAATTTACATAATTATAATTTGAATTTTTTTTTATTAAATGCCTTACCCTTATCAACTTGAAGTTAAAAAATAAACATTTGGAGTCTATATAATTTGATTTTTTTTCATTAAATGTCTTATCCTTGCCAGCCTGAAGTCACATAACATAAGACTGCCTGCAAGTGTACCACTTAATTATAATTGATCAGACATAAATAAGCTTTCCATTGATACCTTATTTCTATAAGAGCCAAAAGGGAAAATAGAAAACTCTTTAAAATTACATCAAGGGATAAAAAGAATGGATTTGCCGAACTAACACTATTCCCGGGGCCAACTTTTCATACAGGGATTGAACTGCACTGTGGGACATAAAGTGATACTTGTGAGGAGTGTGCCTCTTAGTTCAAGTAGATACAAGAGACTAAATGGGCAGCTTCTGTCCAGACATGAGATGAGAAAGCAGAGAGGGTTAGGAGCTGGTTGAATAGACATGGGGAATCGGGTGGAAAGGAGGAGTGTGTTGTCACTGTATGGGGAGAGCAATTAGGGTCAGATAACAATGTATGTATAAATTTTTGTATGGGAGACTAACTTGAAATGTAAACTTCATTTAAACTACAGCAATAAACAAAAACAAATTTAAAAAAAAAAGAATGGGTTTGAAATTATAGCCCTTGTCATATAATTAGTTTAATATGTAGGTAAAGCTCAGCACAAAAAATTTCAACACTATTTTATTATAAAAACTAATAATCCATTTCCTCTGCTAAATTATGTTTACGGTAAATCACATTGTTCAAATAAGCCTCAAAAACTTTACTAGTGTATTGTGTTATTACTACAAAAATGTGCTTTTACTGATTTATTTTTGGATAAATTTATGCTTCTCATGAATTTAGAAATGATACAAATAAATTTTCATCATTTGTCTAGTGCTTACCCCATACGCTTTAGGCTAAAGGTAATACTTTAGAAAACGTAAAAGATTAGAAAATAAGAAATGCAAGAAAAAACCAAAACCAAAAGAACTTAGAGAAATAAATGTTTCTAGAGATTAATAATTCTACTGAAATAAGTTTTGAATACTTTCTCACCTGGATATCCCTGGTAAGAGTTTTATAGAAGCCGGTTGGCTGCCTGACATTAGTTTTTAAGGTAGATTGCTTAGGAGAGTATTTCCACCAACAGGTCAATAATATTTATGGCATTGGTAGAGAATGGTCTAAAGAGTCAAAATAATTCTAAGGGGATTTCCTTGGCATTGTCATCAGAGTACAGCCTGAGAGACCTAATCCCCTGAACATTACAGACATACTTAATTGGAATAACTAAATGTATCCTTTGAGACCTAGAGAGTAAGACAAATGCACATTTCTAAACAATTTTTAAGGTCTTTGTTTTGATTTCCATTCATTTGAGTTAATAACTTTTATCCTTACCGTCATTCTTGATATAAAATCTAGGTGGAAGGAAAAAGTTCCCACTGAGTTGGTCAGCAAAGGCTTCATAGGGGAAGTGGGAACTGAGCTAGGATTTGCTGCCTTAGAGGGAGGTGTGGTGTGAACAAAAGTGGGAAAGTATTAACTACTCCCAATTGTTCTAACAGTTAGTATACAATTTCTGAAAATTTCCTTTGCAATTGTATTCATACTGTCTTAAATCTTATATACCTCGGTTACTAGAATAGCTTTACATTTTTCTTGTGAATCAAAAGAAGCTCTTGAAAGGCTCCTTTCCTCAAAATACTCCCTTATTTAGCAATCTCCCATCATTTAAATTGTAATATTGCCATGTTCCCCATCAATCCTAAGTCTCAATTTGTTAATGTATTAGTTTCCGAGGGCTGCTGTAACAAAATACCACAAACTGGGTGGCTTAAAAGAAAAGAAAAGTACTGTTCCACAGTTGTCAAGGCTAGAAATCTTAATTCAGCTGTCAACAGGGCCATGTTCTCTTCCAAGGCTCTAGGGAAGATCCTTTCTTATCTCTCCCAGCTTCTGGTAGCCCCAGGCATTCCTTGGCTTGCAGTCACAGCTTAAGTCCTCCTTCTTCACATGGCCATCTTCCCTCTCTGTCTGTCTCTGTATTTCTTCTCCTTTTTTAAAAAATAAGGAAACCAAGTAAATTGGATCAAGGCCTACCATGCAGTATGACTGCATGTTAACAAATGATAACATCTTCAAAGACTCTATTTCCACAAAATTCTCATTCATAGGTACGAGAGGTTAGAACTTCAAAGTATCTTTTTGGTGGACACCATTAAATTCACAACAGTTACTTTTTAAAAAATTACTAGGCTTTATTTTTAAAAGCAGTTTTAGGTTTACAGAAAAATTGAGCTGATAGTATAAGGAATTCCCATATAACTCCACCTCCTTTCCTGTTTCCCTATTATTAATACCTCGTATTAGTGTGGTACATCTGTCATGATTGATGAATCAGTATAGGTACATTATTATTAACTGAAGTCTATAGTTTCCATTAGAGTTCACTTTTTGTGTTGTAGAAGTCTACAGGTTTTGGCAAATGCATGCCATATATCTACCATTACAGTATCATACAGAACAGTTTCACTACCTTAAAAATGCCCTGTGCTCCACCTGTTTATCCCTCTCCCCTGGCAAACACTGATCTTTCACTGTCTATATTTTTGCCTTTTCCAGAATGTCATATAGTTGGAATCATATAGTATGGCTTCTTTCATTTACCAATATGCATTTAAGGTTCCTGTATGTCTTTTCATGGCTTTATAGCTCTTTTATTTTATTGCTGAATAATACTCCATTGTATAGGCATACCACAGTTTGTTTACCCATTCACCTATTGAAGAGCATCTTGGTTGCTTCCAGTTTTGGACAATTATG